TGTTACCAGGTGGAACTTGAGAAATCTCAGACAATTCAAGACTTAAAGAGTCTGAATATTATTTTTGTTACTTTGGAAAGCAATGCATCCACATGAGAACATCGAGTTTCTAACTTCTCTCAGCTACAGATTGAGGCACTGTTAGCTACTGTGCACACCAATGCATGTGTTGTCCTGTAACGTGCAGCTTCTGCCCAGTTAGTAAATGTTTAGTCTCAGTTATTCTTTTTGACACGGATGAAGTCAAGTTACAGAACTCGCACCTACAGCACGCAGAGGCGTTATAAGGAGGAGACACGGCTCTCAAACAATCCTAAACTGAAGGCTACTGGAGCTGCAGCGGTTAGCAGCGTTGCCTCACAGCAGGAAGGTTCCTTGTTTGAATCCCCTGGTCGGTTTGCAGGCGTGAGTTCACTCCAGCATGTTGGGTTAAACGCTCATTCTTTCAGTGTTTGGAGGAAACAGCTAGGAGGTGTCGGCTAGATGATAGAGTGCTGAAAATGTTTGTTGATGCTCTTCTTGTTGCTTTTTTGAAACCAGTGACCGAATAAAACAGCACTAATGTTGACTTTCTTATGATCAACACTTTTGATTACATTTAAATCTACAGTTTAGGATTTATCTGACCTTGTGTTGGGATCAAACTACAGCTGCTTGGAAAGATGTCCTGCTTTCTTCAAAAGGACTTGCTTGAATTGTATTGTGGATACATTAAGAGCAAACTAGCTCCTTCACCTCAAGTTTCACAGGATTTTTCGCCACAGGATCAGAATGTCAACAAAGGCTTTCTAGAAGCAAACACAGCCACTCAGCAGCTACGCTGAAACACCTCTGGACAATTCTTTTAAAGCACTGCCTTAAATACTTTTAACTTCACCGCTGACCAGGACATCAAAACTGCACTTACAGAAGCAACAGTCAAATCTAATCAAAGCAGCTCTACAGGTTTGACTTGAAATAGGCTTTTTTCTCCTGTAGGTTATTATTTGTTGTATTTAGAGAGTCCTCAGCTGAAAATCTACGAGTGCCACGTGTCTCTCATATGTCTTACACAAATCCACAAAGCCTGCACAACTGCATATGATTTTTTGGTTTAAAGGTTAAAAATAAAAATTCAAAATCTGTAAACAGAGTTAATCTTTATGTTAACAAAAGAAAAGGGAAAAATACTGCTCAAAGTTTTTGTTTTAACGTGGAAAAGTTAACAAATTAAAAAAGCTATTGTTGAGATCAACAGTGTAGCGCCCGTCACTGCTACTGTACACCACAGCCGTTCAAACTATGATTACCAAATTATTTCAAGACTATGAAATCAACAGCAGATCAATCACTAACACAAGTGTCACAAATATAAAGCAGCAGTTTACTGACCCAACACATTGTTCCCAACATTTATTTCAGATATTTTATACAGTTCCTTGTAGATTTTTTTAATGATTTTAAAAGTTTTTGTTAAGTTTCAGCTGCAAACGTGACTCCATCCATTGTTTGTATCTTCAAGGCATCTGAGGTTTAAACTACTATTGCTCAATCTGCTTCCTGCGATTATTAAAACCCTGTTTCCAGGTTAGCGAAGAGTGTTGCTCAAACATGTTAGTCATGTTACGGTGATGAAAACAAAGCGCCTATCCGTTCTAACACCACACCCACGTTAAGTCACTATGGCTGAAGGCACTGTTTAAATGCGTCTACCCTCCCCCCCTCAGTTCCCATCTGGGTTAATAATCTCCTCCTGGTCCACCTCCACCTTCTCCTATCCTCTTCTTCTTCTTCTTCTTCTTGTCGTGGCGTCTACAACAGAACGCAGCGCTTTTTGGGTTTGGTGTCCGGAGGCTCCAGAGCTGCCAGGATGGCCTCGTCAAACACGTTCTTCAGTCCCCTCTAAATAAACAAAAACAACCCATTACTAAATAAATAAATAATAATTAATTAAAAAAAAACTGAATTAAAATTTAAATTTCAAAATTCAATTCACAGTTAAAAAGAAAGAAAATTCTAGAAATGAAAATAGACGACGTCGCCTTCCTTTTAGACCGAGGTGGAGTTCTGCCACAGATCTCTGCATGCCTCAAATTTACTTGCAATAAAACAAAGTAAAATAACAAATACTTTTTTCTAATGACCGGAGCTCCTGTCCTCTCGCTGAATGTGCTAGCTCTACCAAAAAATACATAAAAATAAATAAAAGAATTTGACTAAATAACATGACCGTATGTAGAATAAGTAGATTAACATGTAGGAGGAAAGTCTTCTGTTTTTAACTAATCAATTACATTTAAGAAGACTTTTTTTTAAAGCAGTTGTTCACTTGTTCAAATACTAGTTTCAGTTCCTATTTAATACTCACAGGTAATTGTCTGATGATGTTTTATTTTTAAAAGTGCTTTTTAAAAGCTGATTAGCAGTTGTAACCAGAATCATGCCTAGTACACGGAGCCACGTGGAAATGAGCCGTTTACAGTTTCACATCTGGACACAGACAGTTCTGTAGCTACACGTCGCCACGCTTATTAGACTTAACTGTGAAACTTCCTTTGACCTCATCAGTTTATCTTTTCAGACCTGAGCTCACATGGATACTAAAGGCCTGTTTCTCCCCCCTCAGGCGACTACTTCTCTCTCCGTACCTGCGTCAGAGCCGAACACTCCACGTATTTGACGGCCTTCAGCTCACGAGCCAGTTTTTCTCCGCTCTCACAGCTCAGGGCTCGCTGTTTGTTCTTGGCCAGCTTCTCCAGGGTGTTGCTGTCGTCTCTGAGATCCACCTGAGTCCCCACCAGCAGGAAGGGCGTCCGTGGGCAGTGGTGTGAAATCTCTGGCACCCACTGTGAAAAGACAAGGTCAAGGTCAGGCTTGATGGACTTTAAATGCAACTCCAACTGACCTGAACCCTCCTCTGTGTCCTTAAAGTTACACTGTGAACAAATTTAGATCTAAAACCAAGCTGATGGTGTTCTCAGTTAATTTTTACTGAGAAGACAATAACTTGTCATAGTAAATGATTTGGTCTACAGATTATTCTGACAGCCCTTGTTTAAAAAGGTAAAATGTACATGTGTCAATCTTAATCTAGAAACAAAAAACACAGAGAGCTAAACAAACCTTCTCTCTGACGTTCTCGAAAGATGAAGGTGATACAACAGAGAAACAAACGAGGAAGACGTCAGTCTGAGGGTAGCTGAGGGGTCGCAGTCTGTCGTAATCCTCCTGACCTGCAGGGGGAGGCACGAGATGACAAAATTAAGCTAATAGAGATAAAAAACAAAACAAAGCTTCAGGTCCAGTTGAGGTGGGCTCCAGAACTGAGTCAATGCCCATATTAAAGTGTCCAACTTTGGACCACACATGAACATGCGCAGCGTGCTACAAAACAAAAACCCTCCACCCTCTTCACCATAACGACGCAGCGGGTATTTTCATTTAAACATATGGATACTGTAAAGGTTTACTCTTAGGGGTGTGGCTTGTTTATTTGACAGGTAAATGTGGAGCAGATCGCAGTCCACTCGGTCTCACCTCCACCAGCTAACATCTCACACTACCAAAAACGCTCACTTTCTGACTTCCTGTTTTACCAAAAGTGGTGGTGAGATGTAGCCAAAAATTAAGATTTCATGATGCATTTTTTCCCCCAGGAAGTTTTCATCATCTTTTTGACAGAAGAGGGTTAGCACATTGACTTAGTTTTCTTTTTAGGTTTTGTAGTGCTTTTAACTGCACTAAAAAAACCTTTCTGTAAATATTAGGCAGTTACTGCTCGTGGGAGTGTGTTCGGTGTTCCTACAGTGAATTAACTGAAATGGTTTTAGATTTTCTTACCTGCAGTGTCAAACAGTCCCAGAGTGTACGGCTCTCCACCGATCATCACCGTCACGGCATAGTTGTCGAACACCTGGGGGACAAAGAGGGGAAAAGGTGAGAAAACAGAAGCCGGATGATATGACAGAGAGAGCAGAAAACAAAAAAAGGAAGTAACGTGTAGACTGGAAGAAGACTTCTTGAGTTGTTAAATCGTTGAAAAAGGAAGTGCTTTCCTAGTGCTTTTGTTTGACAGACGTTCAGCACCGCTGTCATACAAATCAGACAACTCCAGTGTTGAATGTGCAAAGTTAAAAAGGCTAAAATATGAGCACATGATGCTCCATTAAGCAAATCTTTAAGTCATTAAACAGTGGATGAGCGCACCCATCAGCGGTTTCACACCTACAGTTTATTTCCTCCGGTCAGAATCAGTTCAGTTTCTAAACTGGTCAACTGAAAAAGAACAATTTATGTTGGGCGGCTAGTTGCTAGCCTGTGCACATCTATAGTACCTCATGCTTCACAGAATACAAAGAAATAACCGCACGTGACTACGGGAAGTTTTTTTTTTTTTTGCTCAAACTTTCAACATCTACATGGTAATTGGGCCTGACTGAGCTCGTATCCTGTTCACACCACAAACGAACTGCTGAGTTCATTTGGAACCGCACAGAGACGTCCTCCAAAGGGTCTCGGTGCGGTTATATTTACATCTGCACAAACGAACTGCAGCAAGAGGGAAAATGAGAAAGTGATTTAAACTGACACCGCAGGCGTTCACATCCATGAAACCGATCATTTCCAGTGTTGAGAACGTGTGAAGTGGATTTCTTAACATTGTGTGCTGTATCTAAGACCACTGTCTGGATCTGTATGATGTGATTCAGAGCTGTTATTCTCAAAATTGCCATCTTGGCCAGAGAAATCCAACCTACGTGCTGTTCAACCCTTCTTTTTGAGAGGTGCAGCTACTCGGCCTGGTGTAAAAGAAATCAGGATTACTGTGAACTGTGAATCATGCAAAGCTACTGCAGTAGGGTCCAATGATAAAGATATGGAACTGGAAATGGGTAAAACAGCTGCCCTTTAAATAGTTTATTGCATACATGATCTTTACTGAATTACATGAAATGATGGAAACTGAATATTGTTTTGTTGTTGTTCAGGTAAACAGACCTGCTGCGTCTTGGTTCAGTCCTTCCTTTTATTTAATCAGAGCCATACCTTCAGGCTGCTGCTGTGTACAATAAAACAGTCCAGTCCCAACACGCCTGCTAACCTTGGCTCGGCGGACGTGCGCTAAAGCAGGGAGTGTTCACGGTGATGACCTCATGCAGTATAAAACAAGGTACGGTCACAGTAGCTGACTGGAAATGCTTGTTGCACGACGATCTTCATAGAGACATGTTTCATCAGCGAGTTTCAAGCTGCTCGACTGTTTCATAAAACAATCAGCATCATTTTGAACTATAACTGTAATGTTATTTAACACAATTATTCATTAACTTAAAAATACAGGCTCAGCTTTTAGTCTGGTCTTGGACTGAAAACCATTTCGGTCACTTAAAGCAACGAGTCTTCACAAGGAGTTTACTTTAAATACTACTCAGATTGGAAACACTGCAAATGAAATGATTAAACAGGCAGAGCTGATTGACCTGCAGACAGTTGGGTGCACACCAGTGGGCGTTTGCTCGTGAAGCCCATCTTATTTGGGAGCTGCTGGTCACTGCTGGCCCACAGCCTCCATTGTGTCTGTTTGTGCAGACGGCTGTGAAGCGAGACCCTCGTGACAGCAGACTTGGAGGCATCAGAACAATTGGATGGTAGCCACAGGTCGAGGGAGAAACAGCTAAAGCAGACAGCCAAAAAACACTTTGGTCGCACGCCACCAAAAGTGAATCAGGCGAGATGAGTCAGCAGACGACAGCTTTTCTGGCACGTAAAACATTTTGGGACCCACCAGAGGTTCTGGTCTTCCATCAAAGTAAAATGTTTTTGTTTAATTGCTGAAACTTAACAGAAAGTTCAGTCAGATGACCGAGGATAGCAGGAAAACGCACTGACGTCTGGAAAAGTCACAGACTTTTCGCCTTAGTTATATGCAGACAAATCATGATTATGTGCAATCACGCTCAAAGATCCTGAGCCAGTAAGAAATCCCAGTTAACTGTTAACTGGTTTTACAGGATTTGGCATTAACACGACGGTTTACCATCTTTTTTTAACCCAATGCTAACCTAATGTCCAGAGAAGCTGCTGCTACAACTGTTCAAAATTTCTTCTACTTGTCTGTTTGTTGGTTGTTTATTTTTCTTCCGAGCACAGAGAGGCAGAATTGACCCGACGTTTGATAGACTGATGAAACAGTTCAGAGTGTGCGGCACACACACGCAGAGAAATGGACAAACAGAGACAGAAGTGCCCTTCAGGTCAAGTTTGGACAGAAACACTGAGTAACTGGCCCCTCCACTCAAACATCCACCACACAGACAGAAGAAGAGACACAGGTTTGATGGTAAGAGCTTTGGATGGAGCTCCGACTACAGAAGCAGCTGGAAACAGATCACAGCAGACACAGTGGGGAAAGAAAGCGCTGTGCCGAACGGTGTCCCGACTGTGCTGTTACGATAACTGTATTTATATGCCGTTTCAGTTTCATACAGAGCCAAACAACAGCCTGAAATTAAACAATAAACACACTCCTTGTAAAATGTGACAGGTTTGACATCAGATTCCTGTAAGGTGACTTGTTGGTGAGGAATTACTTCCTGGAGAAGACTTACTCTCTCCTAATTTCTTACTGTGTGGCTTGTTTGTCAGCAGATTGACAGGAAACGATGCAGACACATAATACAGCACTGATGTATAGTTGCTCAACACACACACAC